TGCTCCAGAGTACTCCGTAGTACTAGTGACGTCCACTTGAGCCAAAGTAGGTTCAGGATCAGGAACCATACAGAGTGCAGGTAATCTTAATTGCCAACCCGATGATGATAGCGCTGAACCACTCAGTAGTTAGTTGGCTTTAGGTCGTGGTTAAGTAATACCACCTCGTAAGGGGACGGTTTTCGCTGAGACCTACCGTAGAGAGGTATTTACCCCGTAACCTTTAGGACAGCCTCGGGGTGATTTGTATTGCCCTTTGAGCCCTCGCCGCCCCTTTTGTGTGAGCCCCTGGGTCAGTCTGCCGCCCCGTCCTTACACAGGCGGTAATGGAATTACGCCTTGCGGATTACCTAAGGGAGCCCGGAAAGGGCATAGTACTTCTTACTGAGGGCTGGCGACTACCTTGAAAAGCGCACTGCAGAGAACGGTGGGCACGGGCTGATTTTAGCTGGTGTCTGTTGGATGCTGCTTCTTAAACCGAGAGGAGGAGGCTGCATTATCCAGTTTCTGAGTAGTGACAGCAGCTCGTGCTGCTTTGCTAGTCCTAGACTCGTGGGGGTAGAAATAGATAGTGTTTCGAAATTTAAAGTTGAGGTACAGGGGATTTATTTCTGGGATACTTTGTGTTGCACAGCAGAAAAGAAGCAAGATCCTTATCATTGTGACATTTCAGTCTTTGTGTGTTTGAAGATTGCTTTGTGGGTTTCAGTTGTTTTCTGATTCTCTTTACCATCCATATCTCTGTGTGGTCATTTTGAGTATAGTTGAGCAAGGCTTAGTGCCGTATACAAAATCCCTCATACTCAAGGACTCGGCTGCCTCTATGGAGTACCACTTCCACTGTACCAGTCATCATTATTATTCCTCAATCTCGCTAAGACGTCCCACCGGTTGATGAAACCACGTAAGTTTTCACACCCAGCAACTCAACATGAATGAAACCCAGAGACATTCATGGACTTCATCTTACTTGGTTCTTCATTCTTTCGTGTGCACGTACTTGACACTCCATTATTGTCATCAAGTTGCCTCCGTTACTATCTGAAAAGAAGGTTGTAATAATTGCTCGTATTATACCCTCCAAGTACGGAGTACAGATCCGTACATCGGCAATATTACTGTGTGACAATACATTTCACAGTGAGTTAGCCGCAGGAACCGAAGTATGCACTGGGGTTGGTGGGAACAAGAGACACGGTGGGTCATTTCTTGGCGGGGTTGAGTTGGACTGAGCGTCAAGTGGCCGCCTGCAGAAGGAAAGAAGCCCAGGAGAAGATCACCAAAGTGTCACAATTTAATTTTTTTTTTTTGTGATTTTCTTTTTTTCCCTTTCCTTTCTTGATAGTGGCAACCCACTACTACCACTCACTCCAATGACCAAATCAGCTTCCTAAACCTGGTGCCGCTCTCCCGCCCCGTCATAGAAAAAAACGATCGCCCCAGCAAATTCTCGTTCTCTTCCCTCGTAGGCTGGTAGAGTATTGCTGCGACCCTAATTAATTATTTAATTATTTGAATTTTTATTACCCTTTTTCTTTTCTTTTTCTTTTTTTTTGGGCCCTTTTTCTGTGTTGGACTTTTCCACTAAGTATTACTTGCATCTTTCAATCCTCCTTAACATTCCTTCTTCCTCTCCATTTCCATCTACCTAGCACTGCCAACACATTGCGTTTCTGATTTCCTCGGACGCGTCTCCTTCTGGCGCTCTCTTGAGCTGCCACTCTATTGAAGGGAGGGCTTGTACGACTGTACTTCTTGGCTACATACCTGACTCTCTTGGTCTTATCCTATTGTACCTTTTCTTACTTCCGCCCCCCTCACATCATGCGTTGTATATCATGACAATCATCGTCCTGCTGAGGACAACCTAATCTCCCGCCCTCTGGGTCGATCGGTGCTATCATTGATCGATATTGAGAGAGCGTCTTCTCTATTATCTATCTGATTGACAAGTTTAATTAATTCTTCACTGAACTCGTCATTACCTCTCCGACCTTCGTATTCTACTACCTACCGCCGCCACATATCCTCTCGAGTCACCGATATCGAACATACGAGCATATCATTAACTACCTCTTCGACCTCAATCCCGTTCTCAACTAAGCAACCTACTCGAAGCGATGGCATACTTGCGCGGTGGTGATCGACCCTTTTCAATACACAAGATTTTGAAGATGCTACTCTCGCCCCATCAGTCCAACAAGCCTGTTCAGCAAGATTCAGATATGCTTGAGGACGTCGATGAGCCTCCTGATCACCATTTCTTGAATACCTCTCCAATGAACGTCGACGACGGTGTCGTCTACGTCAAGTCCCCTACCACCATGAGTCGCGGCAAGGAATCACTTCTCACACGTGCCCTCAAGCACAGTCCCGAACTGGCTCCTGCCGACCACCATGACCATCCATTCTACCGCTCGTACCACTCGGGCACCGTCAGCGGAATTTCGACCGCGGAGCTGACCAGCGACGGTGGACTGACGAGCCCATCGTTGTCCAACACTCCAAGCCCCCCGCTATCTCCTCAACTCAACGGTAGATCTGGGTTGGATGCGGCGGAATCCACTGTGGAAGCCAATCTTGGACGTAAGAGATGCATCAGCTTTGCGTGCGGGCGTAAGGCTGAGGGAACGAAACCCCAACAACCTACAGCACCGGAATCGACTGCCAATTCGACTCCAGCGGAGCCTCCCAAGCGGAAGACGGTGCTTACTTTTGTTTGCCCGGCAAGGGATTCATGCTCGACAAGAGAACGGCCTCCTGTTCGCACAGCTGCTCTCAGATCGCGGCCTCGTGGATCCCCTGCCCCTGTCGCCCGCAAGGCGTCTCCGGATAAAGATGTGTCTTGCTCGGTTAAGGCACAGCAAGATGAGAAGCCGTCGGCATCAAGCAGTCAAAGAGGTGTGCCTGTGAAGGGTCTCGGCAAGTTTGAAGAGTCTGAGGCGACCCGGTTCCACGAATTTGCTAGCTCTGTCAGCGAGGATGATGAGTGGGTCACCAAGGTTGGTGAATTCACTGAGAAGATTACTATGAGCGATTGCATGAGAAAAGAAATCGCCATCAGAAAGCTCGGAGAAGAAGCGGAGGAAGAGGCGCTTGAGGAGGAAGACGAAGAGGAGGACGAGGACGATGCGGACTCGACTATCCATGACTTCTCCTCGGATGATGGCAATGAATCCGACAATGAGGCTGGCTTCGCCGATTCAGACGATGAGAGTGATGACGGTTCTGAGTATGAATTCTGGGCTCCCACTGCGACCACTACTGCCACCAGCCCTCAGACATTGGAGTCGGCTCGCCAGGCACTGGAACGTCGCGGCTCGAACACATCGCTGGATTCTATGACTGACGATCCCCGCAAGAAATGGCCCCCAGCACTCGCGTGGAAGGCGAATGGTCGATCCCCTTTCAAACCTCCCCCGGTCAAGATGCGCCCTGGAACTCCCAACCTACCCGACAGCACAGATTTTGTTTGTGGCACATTGGACGAGGATCGTCCATTGGAAGTTGCATATAAGTCCTGCATCGAGCAACGTCGCCTCTCCAAACAAGTCATCATTCCTCAGGATATTGATCCCAGCTTCCCTACGTCGGACATTGATGATCAAGATGACCTGGAAGAGGATGAGATGGAGCTGTCGTTTAGGGCTGATGAAGCGACTCGGGGAAGAACTGGTGGGGATTCCGTGCGTCAACACTCGCCTCGCTTGTCACCCAAGCGGATGATGTCCCCTCCCCCGCGCCGTGTTGGTCGCATGTCTCCGAGACGTCTTCGGTCCCCTCCACCGCCGGTCAAGATGGGACCTACACAAAGTGGCGATGGTGCCTCGGATGATCAGCTTCCCTCTCGTCGCCCCCAAGGTGTCAACATCAGTGAATTGGTTCAACGCCCCCTTATGACTCGCACCAAGTCCCTGCCTCGAACTCCCAACCCTTTCTTCACGTCCCTCGACAAAGCTCATCGGTGGTCATCCATCGCCGACTTGAAAGAATCGCCAGAGCGTGAATCATCCTGCACTCGCGAGGTGCACACTAGAGGCCCGATCGACATCGTCGAGGGTCTAGAGAAGAAGCGTCAGAAGCGAAGGGAGAAGTTCTGGCGTCAACATTGCCGCAAAGCTGCCAAAGAGCAGATGGAGCGGCGACCAATCCCTGGAAAGGGAGCTGAACGGATGAAGGAGCTTGGCCTCGAAGTTGCTGAGAGGTTCAGAGCTTACGGTGTCGGCCAAGACGCCCAGCTCGTCCTATCTGTTTAGACCTTTCCTCCATCAGAAAAGGACGTTTGTCTTCCTTGTACATACTTGAACATTCTTTGTCACTTCTCTGCCCCGGGGTGATTCCCTTCACTCTTTTCTACAGATTGAATCCCCTCGGTCGTCGTGTACTCTTTGCACAGCATCATCGTTGCTTGGGAGGACATCCGTCATGCATTTACAGGGAGATCACTTTTTTCTATTCGTGTTTGCTTCACCTATACATATTTACCCTTTCCTTATCGGTTTAAACTATATTTTTTACATTCCCTCACTGTTGTGGCCGGGGCCCTGTTTGAATTAGTTCTGCATGCTCGCGGTTCATATGGAGGATACCCACTGCTTTTGTTGCTGCATTTGTAGGCAGGCCACAACATGACAAGAAGACCAAACCAGTCCTTGCTGATGCGAAAGATCAATGAAATCAAATAATTCAAATTAAAATGATTCCTTATTTGAATAGTAAAGTAATCTATTCTGTCATAGTTGTGCAAGAGGTCATGTGGTTGCAGGTTTAAAGTTGATCTTCCCGGCGGTTGCAGTTGGCTTTAGCGCTCGGCTAAGCGTCCAAAGCTAGCGAATCGGCCAGAAGTCAACGTCAACTCATCGGGCCACCACAACCTGTCTTCTTCTGCACTTATCTCTGGCCCAGCCGCTCGCCACTGTTCTTCTGGCTTTCATCTTCTCCCTATGATCGTCAGCTATATTTAAATTCTTTCATATCTGACATCTGGACAGTTTTACGCCATGTGGATCATTAACTGGTGTAAGTAGTTCCTTGTTCCTTGGTTTGCCCTGCAACTCCGGGTCCTCGACACCTCGAAGTTCCGTCCTTGCATTCGCTTTTGCTATCATAAAGAGCCATCTAGAGGACTTAACTGGCATCTTACTTGCATTACTGGTCTGACACCCGCCGGTTTCTGTCGCTAATGAGTTTTCTCTTTCGGTAGTCTACGATGTCCTGGCTTCCCTAGGTCTCCTCAACAAGCATGCCAAGCTCCTGTTCCTTGGCCTGGACAATGCCGGCAAAACCACCCTTTTGCACATGTTGAAGGTGAGTATCCTCGAAGAACCTGGAAGCGTTGGATAGGGAGTTGCGTATATGCTGACTTTGCTTGCGCTTGATTGATAGAATGACCGTGTCGCGACGCTCCAGCCTACGGCGCACCCGAGTACGTCTTCTTATAACAAGTCATGACTGGCGACGGAAGATCCCGAGCAGGGAGCTGATACTGATGATTCCAGCATCGGAGGAACTTGCCATCGGCAATAACCGGTTCACAACGTTCGATCTGGGCGGTCACCAGCAGGGTGAGTAGAACTTGGCGGTCACGGCGCAGCCCGAACTGGGAGGTGGGAGCTAGTAAGCTGACAATATGGATGTACAGCGCGCCGCCTGTGGAAAGACTACTTCCCCGAAGTCAGCGGGATTGTCTTCCTCGTCGACGCCAAGGACCACGAGCGCTTCCCCGAGTCCAAGGCCGAGCTCGACGCCCTCCTCGCCATGGAGGAGCTGGCCAAGGTGCCCTTCCTCATCCTCGGAAACAAGATCGATCACCCCGATGCTGTTAGCGAGGACGAGCTGAGACATCAGCTTGGTCTGTACCAGACCACGGGTAAGGGCAAGGTGCCGCTGGAGGGGATCCGGCCCATCGAGGTGTTTATGTGCAGTGTTGTTATGAGACAGGGTGAGTTTTCTTTTTGACTTTTTGTGTCATGTTTTTTTACGGCTTTTGCGTTGCTCTTGGGAGTACGATGCTAATGTGGATGATGCCTACTAGGATACGGCGAAGGTATCAGGTGGCTGTCCCAATACGTCTAAACGATCAATCACAATCAACTCCATCCGTTCCCTCTGATTTCTACCCATCACTACTTTGCTACCGGCCTATCGATAATGATGATGATGAAGATGGAACCATGCCCCATCCGTCCCTATCAGTCTATAGTCCTCAGTTCCCCCTCTGTCAAATGCAGATTCTAGCGATTAGTTCAAGTCACAAGTTGTTCTTCTAAGATTCTTTCTTAGTTCAACCTACGTATTACACTGGCTGATAATCAACCGAAGAGAGATATACTGGGTGTAACTCAGGAAAAGGAAACATCATTGTATGAATGACAAAAGTACCCCATTGATTCCGACCTAACCTACAACCCCAAATGCATTCGAGCGTCATGCACCAGGTAAACGAGATGAAAAAATGCTTATCCCGCCACGGCCAACTTTGTCCACCACTTTCGTCAAGTACCTTATCATGTCACAGGCATCTAGCAGTCACTGTAGCGTATCCTTCAATTCGCGTTGATCGTTATCAGGCGTCGCAACATGCAGACGCAAAGGAGCTAGACTTTGTAAAAAAGAGCCGTGGCACAGTTCGGAAGACACGGACATGTCGTTGCTTATTCGGTTTGGCATTACACTCACAGGAAGATTGCTCAGAATGAGAAAAAAAAGCAAACGGAAGACACCACAATGCAGCCCGTCGCTTCGCCTCCACCTGTCAAGATAGTCCGGAACAACGAAGAGGGTAACACAGAGAAAGAGGAAAGAAGAGATGAAGATAAACAGGAAAATGGATGAAATAAAAGAAAAGAAAAAAGACAATAAGAAACAAAACCCCTACAAGGAGCAGAAAGTACCTTCCATATAGAGATAAGGGAAAAAGTTCACCGTAGAAGTAAACTGTAAGACCGGAGTCGCTGGAGTAGCGATGGAGGGAGATATTGTGACGGTCCTGCATGTTGAGAGGTCTCTGGATGGCCTGGTGTATCCGCATTCGATCGTCTGAGGTTATGTCTTCAGGGGTCGCTGTGGTAATTCGCTATGTCGTGGGTTGACGAATGTGGGATTGTAACGTTTTATCTCCGCCCGAACCTGCTGCACATGGAAAAGCTCGTATGATTTCTTACTTCTTCTTTGGTTTGCGCGGAGGAGTGGGCGCGCCTGAGCTCATGCCCCCGTAAACGTACTTTTGTTTCTTCTCTGCTGGTTTCAGAATCTAGAAAAAAGTCACATTAGTAACCACAAGTTGGGCCCAAAGCTTAGGGCTCACAACATACCTGGAATGAACAAAGAAGGCTTTCATCGACACTCATCATTGCACCGGCGTTGTCGAACTCTCCACAGTAGTTGGGAGCACTGAATAGCGTTACAAGCTGTCTCTTCGAGAAAAATTCGTAACCGTCCTCGACGACTTGGTGTGCACGGCATATCAGATCCATATCATGCTTCTGGAGGAAACGAGATACAACATCGGGACCGAATGTGAACGATACACCTCGGTCATTCTCGCTCCAGCCGGTGATATCTTTGTCGGGATCGGACCAGAGAAGATCGCAGAGAAGACCGCAGTCAGGGATCTATCCCAGTTAGCAAAGCAAACCTTGAGCTGCGAGAGCCCGGCGGGACCCTTTTCGACTGTTTCAACAGTACAGACAAAAGGAAATCCACAGAGGCCCGTAACGAGAAAAAGGACCCAATCCGTGATATGAAGCTATGAGTGGGAGAGAAACTCACATCGGTAGGACGCATGACGCGACGGATCTGTTCCATAGAGTTCAGATCGGGACTGAGACCGCCATGCATGGTGAAGATCTTCTCGTCGATAATTGCCGCGATGGGCAAGCAGTTGAAGCAATCAGTGAATGTCTTCCAGAGCTTAATGTTGTACCGCCGCTTGCACTCGTCATAGAAGCCATAGATACGGTTGATAGAGGCACATTCGTGGTTACCACGGAGAACGAAGAAGTTTTCGGGATATTTGATCTTGTACGCAAGGAGGAGGCAGATGGTCTCGAGCGACTGCTTGCCACGGTCGACGTAGTCTCCGAGGAAGAGGTAGTTGGCCTCAGGCGGGAAGCCACCGTATTCGAAAAGACGCAAGAGATCGTAATATTGGCCGTGAATATCACCGCAGATCTGATGAAGGCAAAATCATCAGTTTCGATCCGATGTGTAGGCTAGCATAGTCGCCAAGCCGCGGCAATAGCCCGAGGAACAGGCATCATCTTACCTTGATTGGCGCTTCCAGTTCCAACAGTATCGGTTGAGAGATGAAAATCTCCCTAGCCTTGGTGCAAAGATACCGAATCTCCGCTTCCAACAGTTGCACCTGCTTTCCAGGCCGGCTGCCCCTCACCTCCAGCAGTCTATCAATGATGTTGTCCAGGTCCACTTCTTGATCAGCCATGACGTGCTGATTCTCGAGACGAAAACGAAGAAAAAAAAGTAATTAATACAAAGGCGTTGAACAACGAAAGGGAGAAAAGAAGGACGAAGGGGAGATGGTAGTTCCCGGAGCGCTCGGTACACCAATTTAGGCGGCGTCTATTAACTGTGATAGCGGAAAAGAGGTTAGAGCTGCTCGAATATCATGTATAGTCCGACCAAACGCGTAATTCAATGCGCCCGGTAAATTTTTTTTTCCCACCTCCCACTCTTGATATCGGGAAGAACGACGGGAAGTGAAAGGAGTAGAAGGCTTACCGAGATAGAATCTAGATGAAAATACAGACTCAAAGAGTTTGTAGCAGGCCAAATGGCCTTGGGAGTGGTGAGGAGGTGGAGGATCTGGCAGTTATGCCAGATGGTGAGGATTGTAGCAGCCCGCTCTGAGAATTATCCTTGACTGATGACGCGCGATGCAAAACGACGTGATGCGGCTCCCGCAGATTCTGGAAGAGAATAAGCGTCGAAAAAAGAGCCCGGTGTTGTTGGATGGGGTTGCTTTTGACCGGGTGGGAAAAAAACGGGAAGCGTGTAACGGGAAAACAAGCGACGGAGCGGATTGGCTTGAGAGTGGGATGGGACTAGCAGAACAGATAAACGACGGGGATTCGACAAGGACGTTCTTTTTCTCCGTTCAATCTGCTGCTGTTGGTGAAGATGATAGTATTATTCTCAGAGGATGAGAGCTTCGAAGAAATCGATGATCTTGGGTTGTGGTGGCGTGAGGGGGTGGAATGGGAGGGGAGGAAAGATTGTTGGTCGGCAATCAAGGGATCTCAGGTCTTCCTCTCTCTCTCTCTTGCTCTCTAGACTATCTCCTGTTCAAAGCGGTCGAGGCGGAAGAAATTTTTTTCCCCCTTTTGGGTAGCGTGTTATTTCGAAAAGTCTTAGCTTTTTTTTTCTTTTCTCTCGCTGATCTCAAGGTGGTCGACCAGAGAAACTAAGAGAAGGTCAGAATGAGTCGTGATGCAGGCCAGAACACAGATAGCATGGGCAAGGGAAGAGAAAAGGGAGAGAGGAGAGTTTAGATTTGGTGTTGCGGGTTAGGATTGGCGCGCGCATAAGGCGGCGTACCGTCTGTCCTCTGTGTAAGGTGTACGTACTAGGTACCTAGGAGGAAGAAGGTCGGGTATCTATTATTCACCTCCATGATACTGCTGCACTCTTAAAAGACTACTTGAGATATCTTCCTGTTATTCATGGCTTTATTTCCATCTTTGACTTAGGTGAATATGCTTGACAACAACAGCAACAACTGAATCAATCTATCTGTTCTTAATGACCAGCTTTTATCTCAGCTGCACATCCAGCTCCCAAAATAGCGCTCAGGCATAGTGTGGTCCAAGTACGACAACAAACTTCACTATAAACTCCCTCCCCTGCAAGGAGTTTCTGTTATGACTTATGGCTGTCTGTGACCGGGTGAAGCTTTAAGCATTTGGTTAATTCTCCTCTCATTCCCCTATCTAACCCTCCCAGTTCTCTTCTCTTTCCAGCAGCCGAGCTACCACAATGTCTACACCCAAGCATCTACTGGGAAGCCCCACCCCCGGTCTAGACAGATATCAGCGACTCCGAGTCTATCCAGATTCCAGAGTCCAGAGCGTGGCACCGATTTCCGTTCACAATCTTCCGAAAACGCGGGGGAGAATGTATCTACGTTACGTCTGCAGTAACAGCCTCGAGAGCGGCCTAGGTGAATCGCATCTGATAAAACTAGTATCGTCCGTTGCAGAAATATGACTCATCATAGTTAAATTCATGTCTCATGCATTAGGCCCGAATCTCATCACTTGATCTTTGACAGAAAAAATAACCGAAAGAAAAAAACAAGATGGCAGGCAAGTATACATCGTGCAATGATAGACAACGACATCTCGATGAATGTAGGTGGTAATCCTCACACAACGCATCATTAGGAGAACCGGAAAAACCACACTTCAGTAAGAGGGGGGAAAGCATGAAGCCGGAGAAATATAACCATAAAAACTCTGAAGCAAAATCCAGTAACGCCTTGACACCAGCTCCCAGCTGCGCGTCATCAGAAAATACAATACAAGCGGTCTAAACAGGAAAGTGACTTTCTTTCATGATGCCTCCCAAATGTCGGTCCATATTGAGTGTCGATTGCGGATAGAGAATAAGGCTGTAAGGTGAGAGAATCAGGGAGGCTGACAAGAAGAGGCGGGAGAGGGAGCAAAAAGTGTTCAAACATCCAGCCCGCAATTTCGAAGTTTCGCGTAACGCCATAAACAATGCAGTCGAGCCATCAATTGCCAGAATAGCACACGCAGGCAGCCAGTCGTGACGGTGAGGCGCAAAATAACCAAGAATTTGACAACGCCGCAAATAAGGACCTGCTTATCATTATTTTTCGAGATGCTCAGAGCCAAAAGGAAGGTTCGTCTGTCGTGCTTCCAGATGTAACTAAGCTCCAAGACTTGCAGCCTTTGCAGTCTTTAATTCCGCACCAAATAACAACGAAGTCCGAAAATTCTGTCTTTTTGCTTTTCGTTCGATTGGTTTTCGATTGGCGTAAAGGGTCTGTCGCTGCCATGTAACTAGGGCAGTGGTTGTCACTGGCGTAATCCCCA